GGTTTAAGTCATATTAAGAGAATCGTACTCAAATGTGCTCCATCAACGGATCGCTCTCGCAAAGCTGTTTATTAAGTTGTGGTGTTCCCCAGGGGACGATTTTTGGTCTATTACTATTTCTGTTATACATCAACGATCTTCCAAACTGTCTTTCAAATTGTGAGCCGAGGATGTACGCTGATGACACCCACCTTACATACGCAGGTGATAATGCAGACAATATTCAGTCATACAGTCAATATAGAAAAAATCTCGATTTGCTTGAACAGGGGCCGCGAGGAATCGGTAGGTAATGATGACGTTTCTATTGTTTGCGCCCGCAAGTACGAAATGGTTAGGATGACGTAAAACACAAAAATTCCTGTAGGAACAGCTTACAATAGGTAGATTTTGTGACATTAATTGTGCAGTCATACTTCGATACTCTTTTGCGTTACGTGTTATCATTGACATTCTGGGGAGAAGTTGTTATGAAAGTTATGGACCAAAAGACACGCGTTAAGCGCAGATGAAGTTATAAGGTGCGTAGAGCAGTGTATATTTTAACACTAAGTGAGTTTGCAAGACACGAGTTCACAAATCTTTGATTGGAAACCTTCAGCTGAACCTTGCCAGACACTCTTTCCCTCTCTTTGACCGGAATCAGACTGGGCCCAAAACAAGCAGGACGAGTGAATGATTCAACGGCTAGCTTATCACTAGCAGAACGATGGACGATTACAGAAATTCGCCGACCATCAAATTCTGTGCTGACTTAGTCCCTGCTCACAGATGTCAGGCCTTCCGCTATAAAGTTTGAAACAAGACTAGAATGTGCGAGCGTGAATTGATCAAACGTCCTTTTAATTTCTAAGGCTTCCTTTCCGGCAAATGAAATGAACTAAATGTAAAAAGTGAAATAGAAATAGCGAAAAATTAAACTTCTAATTAAATCTTTTCTTATGGTTTAGAATAAGCTATTCTTGAAACTGAGAATCTTTTGATCAAAGCTGTGTAAATCGAACCGAAACTGTGCATGGAACCTTGCGTTTATTTCCTGTATTTATCTCTCCTATTGTGTGGAATATGTGTGAACATCTTCATTATGAATCGGTATATATATTTCAAAGGGCTACACAAATAGCAAATACTATATAGAGAGCGGGGACAGCTGTAGTGTCAACTATTACTAGTATAATACTTTAGCTGCATTAATTATTAAATTATAAAGACCACTCGACTAGCTGTTTTGCAGTATTTATCTTAACTTTTTTGAGGTTAAAAAAGTGTTGCTGTGATTTAAGTGCTAATACAACTTACCAGGAAGTCCATGCAAATATCGACTGTCTATTTTCAACTCAAAAATTAAGGTAATACTGAAGCACACTCTTTTCCAAGTATATCGTAATTGTTCTAATTCTGCACTTAAAACATGAATTGATTAAAATTAAATAAATATAGAAATGAACAGTACTTCAAAAAAGAGTGCTTAATTGTTCATTGCTACCCTGAATTTTATGTGCATGAGATATGTGGAGCACAAAAAATAGTTTGATTACCAGCTCGACTCACCTTCAGTTATTCCAAAGCTTTTCTCTGATAAAATATTCTGGATTGTCCCTTGCGGTCTCTTTAATGCTAACGAAACGAACCGCCCCTGAGAACAACCTTTCGCCAAATACCGGGTTTCCTTTGTTTTTTGTTTATAAACGAATTTATAATGAACTGATAGTAAACATGCCGGTTTTAAAAGCGATCGTGATCTACTGAGTCACAGTTCTGTTACTGCGACATCTTATTGCTTTTAATTTGCGTTGGATAAGTTACGTCACTTGGTGTTCCAATTTACTGTAGCTTGGACTTAATTTAAGTTCTTCAGGAGTTTAGACCATTGACCAGAACTGCCTAAAATAGGAAATAGTTTATGAGCTACTGCACGAATATATTTGTATATGTAGCAGCTGCCGATCTCAATATGCACTCCTACTTAGGTTCACAGCAAAAGATCTTCGTACTATTAGTGCAAAGCCTCCATGTGTTAATCGTAGAGGCGGAAAGCTTACGTCCGGGCGGTTTATTAACTATGATGAGACCATTCCAACAGTATGCTTGTTCCCCTCGTTTCTTGTTTTTAAGTATTTAAAAGTAATTGTGGCTTCTTAATAAGGAAAATAAAAATAATAATAAAGTAATAATAATAATAATAATAATAATATTAATATTAATAGAAGAAAAACAGAAAACGGGTCCGCATATCATTTTTGATAGAAGAAGATGGCATCTAACTTCGATAGCTGTCCTCGCTGGATCGAACATATTAATGACATTTTACATTGTATCCTTCGCCAGTAACGATATCTCATTTAAGCAATCAGTGATAACACAAGTGAAATAAGCAATTAAAACAAGCAGTGATTCGGAACGAGGACTAAAGAGTACGTGCTTCAGTATGCTATATTTAGAGGCAGAAATAAAGTTGTTAAATATTCAGTTTGAATAAATTTGACGTTAGTAATAAAGAATCTCTTAACTTGTCTCCAGATACCTCTGAACCGAGCTTAAAACTTGGCTTTTCGTGGTTGATCGGGATCCCATTTATTATTAGTCTTTCTCTTGGTCTGTGATATTTTCATTAATTCCTCGATAGGCTTCAGTTGTTGATGTAGTTTCAACAAGATTTAAAAGTGTTCATCGGTATAACGGCAGTCATGCATTATCTCTGACTATGAACTTCATTTTTCCCTCTTTTATAGCGCTAAATATGGGTGTTCTATTTAGCCAATGTATAAAAAGTAAGCCGGTGGCATTAGGATTGGTAGATTACTCTTCGCCTTTTTTAAACATCATACGAAAAAATATTTTAAAGACAGAAATTTGGTTATTATCAACCTGCTTCGTCTTCAAAATTAACATTAAACTGGACTGCTATTGTGCCTTTAAGGTCAACGTAGGTCTATAAAATACTCTACGAAAACTTGCTTGCACATAGATATAAAATTAATTCAGTAATAACTTCTGCTGAACACAGTGAAATAGGTACGTGACTTGCGAATTCGCTTATCGTAGTAAATATTTGTTTTTGCATTGTTCTACTGCAGAAACGCAGTTTCCGCAGCGTTCTCGTATGTTACCTCAAGGGTCGCTCACGCTTTGAAACTATGATTAATCAGCTTGGCTTGGCTCGGATAAATAAAATACTCTATCTAAAAAAGCACTACAAGTACGGTAAGCTAGGAAAAAAATATATATTAAAACGCTATGATGACCTCATTATCAGCCATTAAAACTTGACTAGTGCTCCTCTCCTGTCTAAACCCATAGGTCTAAGTTAGGCCGCGGTTTAAGAATCTTTGGGCCTCCACATCAATTTAAGAAGATAAATGCTTTTCTAGTCTGTGCTTTGAAACTGTTCGCGACAAAACATGGTGTTTATGTAGAAGCGATGGTCATTGGTGTTTAGATAAAAGCGTTGGTCAAACTGAAAACGACTTAGAACGCGGTTTTGTTAAACACTGGATAAACCCTGTTTAAATAACCAGCCCATTATATTTTTGGTAAGAAAAATATTTTACTCTTTGGTTCCTTGCACGTCTGATCTTATTAGTAAAAATTGAAGGGTACTCAACACTTACATCATAGTAAGTAGTGAGATGCCTGGAAACACGAAAGGCAGCCATGTACTTGTGGAGATCCTGGCCAAAATAAGCCTAAGGGTGTCAGCGGGAAAATGCAACAGCAATCGAGCAATATATCTCTTTGGCTTGGACGTGACAGTGGTGGGCCGATGTGACCTTGCATTTTCCGCGCAGACACGCATCAACCAAGCTGACTACACATGCGTGAACAACAATAAACAATTCAGGGGTATTGCACATTCTTGTATTGATTTTTCAAAGATGTAATTGTATGAGATCTGGGGCTCGCAAAGAAGAGATCTTCGTTCTTTGTTGTCTGCAAATTAAAAGAGGTTTCACAATCAATGGTTCCCTTAGTCATTTCCAGAAGATTAAACCATGCTAACACTGTCAGAGAGGTCTTTGGCGTGGACGAACTGGGTGAGCAGTTAAATTAATAGTGGTTGCTTAGTTACGAAACAGGAGGTGGCCTCTGAAATCCTACGGCGATGTATTTTGCAGAGCACATATTAGATCATATTAAGTAAGACAAAGGGTAACTTGAACAGACCCAATTAAACTATTTCCTAACCTGCAAGTGTCAGTAAAACATTAAATATTCAAACCTGGCTTCTTCATTACTTTTTTCCTTCTTATCAGTTCCTTCTTTCTCTGAGGCTTCCAGCTTTTGCAACTTTAGATAGACTTTTCATTTTAGCAATCAAATTGAGAAGGGCTCCAGATTTTATAAATCAAAATTATACTTGCAGTTTGAGGAACAATACCTTCCAGGAGCCCATTCTGGAAATTACAACTTTTATCATAGAATGAAGGTGATGTGCACAACGGAAATGCAAATTTAAATGACGATATGATCATCGCAGTGGTAATTGCTATTTACTTGAAGCAATTGCAAATTAACCCCAAAAATGTACGGGACTTCAACGGGATTCGAACCCATGGCCTGTGCTTTAACGCTGCAGTGCTCTAACAACTGAGCTCAGGGAGACCCATACATTGGAAGCAGGCGAATTTGTTGGGTTCATCTTAACCCGTGATATTCATTCAAATTTGTATTTCCGCAGTTCACATAATGTTCATTCTATGTTTCACTCCTTTGAAGGGTTTTTTGAGGGTTTGAACCCATAGGTTCACAGCACAGTAATAAGTTTCATTACTGGTCCTGGTCTATTTAAACTGCAATTACAATACTTCGCGATAAAAATGTTCACAAAAATATTTTCAGCCTTAAGTGACGGCGGAAACATTAGAACATCGTCAACAGCTTCGGCATGAAAATAAACATTCTTACGAAAAAGAGAGTACTATGTAGTTATCTCCATTTATAGACACTTAACGTCCAGGGATCCTTAAATCTAATAGATAAAATAGCTTTACATAAACTAAAGCAAGTAATGTCGTTGTCTTGATGCTAAAACAAGTGATACAACAAAGCCGTGAGCCCAAAAAAGAAAGAGATCCACGCCAAAGAAGTATTAAACGTGATTCTTCCGACTCTGAATCCGTATCGCCTGTCTTTTGCGTACGTAATGAATAAAGCGATGTTTCTGCGATCCCTGAAAGGATGGCCTTCATTCCAGTCAGAAGATGTGGTGCTGTTAATTTTTTCGTAGATTCCTTCAAGGCAAAAGTAAAAGCTAACGTTAGAATTGAAAACATGGTACAGCCGCCTCATGACAAGTTTTGAAGCTAATCGTCTTAACCACTATTCACTTTATCCTACTGCTAATTTATCACTTTCACGGTCAGAACGCATCCTAATCTGGTGTTCCTGTGGCACTAAGGCAGAACTTTTCGAGCTATCACGGGAGACTGCAAATTAGCCGCCCCCTATTAATTTTATCAGGGGCACCTCGCGGGCCAGGAAACCGGACTCCTTTCGACTCGATTTCGTTTCCGTAAGTGACGAACGCGGGATCTCTGATCAATGATCACCTTAAAGTGCACTCGGAGTAGAAGAGCTAGCTGATAGCCTCGATATCGATAGATAACTGCGCTCGTAACACAACTAACTAACAGGGGCTAACAAGCAAATGAATTGCCCTGACCCCTTGGCATTCACCCGGATGATGTCACACCATCAAAAAGCGTTACTCAAAATGAAAGCCAGGAGAAGAAAGCATAAAATTCCTATTCGAAAGCAAATATCATTGCTTTTATCCTACTGCTAATTTATCATAGTGCTATTCGTTATAGCATTATATTATCGCTGCAAATTTAGTAAACATTAGCAACGGCGAATTTACATCATTAGACTGAAACGTAGCGTTCGTCCTGTCTTTCTTTACGCCTTTTACTTGACTCTCTTGGGTGTATTTTGCTGCTGCAGAAACCATTGTTGGTTGGCTAGTGTGTTGTTGTGTGGGTATTGTCTTTTTAATCTTTTGTATAACGTCATTTGCTGATTGTACCAGTCCGCAACACCAAGAAAAGCTAAGAAACTACGGAAACTGCCCACCTACCCCTCCCCTAAGCCAACATTTTGCCCTAAGTGAGAAGTAAGTGCTAATTTTGGCTTAGCCCAGGGGTAGGTGGGTTGCATGAAAAAAATATATATATCTTCTATTTACCTACACCTTACCAGCACAACAGCTTGTAATTCTAGCAGCACATACACAAGGAAGTAAAAACAAATAAACAAGACAAACAAGGATAAAGCCATCGTAAACCAAGACAACTGTGGGAATTCCAATCCCGTTCCGCAAGAGTTGTTCAACATCAGTAGATATCCAAACGATAAATAAGAGAACGCCTGCAGCGTAAGTGAACCAGTGAATTACGAACCAAACACTGTAGGCTGATACAGTGCTAAAAACTACTGTGCATAGGTCTTCGTGAATTCTAATGACGTCATCAAGGGTCCCGTCTTGAAGCCCTCGGATGATTCTGAGGGCATCCTCGACAAAAGTCCCTGCATAAAAATTAAAGAAAGAAAGGGATCTGTCGTTAGACCATAGATTCAGGGCTGGGTAATCGTCTTACATTGTACCAATATGCCAGTGTAACGTTAGAATATATAGAAATGAAAATTCTTTAATTCGATGTAGTTATTATTAAATGTTATTTCTGCTTGTTTTGATTTGTTTGTTTTATTTATTTATTTATTTATTAATTTATTATGATTCGCAACAAAGAGCCACCACATATACATTAGACTACGAGTAGTCTCCCACGCGGCGGGGAGAGGGAGTGTCGCTTCTTCTCGCGTGGGGTGATTTTCACGCTCGCTTGCGTTTCGCTCGCTCTACTATCTCTGAGGAAAAATGTGGGACTACTCGTAGTCTTCATATACATGCATATTTTTATTTTATTTGCAAGGTAAATTGAGCCTACTACTATAAAGGGCTGGTTAGCTTTGTTTTTTCATCCACATGGTACGTTCTTCTAATCCACACTGACACCTGTGTCACTCGGGTTGAAATTGTCCATTGACGGGATATAGCCCCAGCTTACCAAAGTGAAAGCCGGGAGTGAAAAAACCATATAATATTTTAAACGACTTGAAAACGCAAGTCATAAATTATAAACAGGCAACAGCTTTATATTCGACGTCTGAAATGAAGTCGTCCTGCATTCGTTATAGAGTTAAACCACTTAAGCACAGCAGCAGCATGCTTTAAACCCAACTATTAAGACAGTAATAAAAAAGAATGAATGAACCTACCGAGTGCCAATGAACTGACTGCGAAGATGTGACAAGTGACGACTGACACCCAGTGTAATAAGAACTTGGCCGCTTCTCCTGTTGCCACAAGCGTTTTACAAAATGATTCTTCAATTACCAAGTTGTCTTGAAGTATTTTAAAATACAGGAGTGCTGAGCAAAGTAACAACAGGGTGGAAATCAGCAAAGCAAGAAATAACACGAACGTACCTCTCTTTTCAATGTCTTTACTTATTAACTGTGATGGCGTCACTAAGGCTGACACTTTGCGTTTGGCTGCCATAAAGCAACCAACAAAAACAAGATACGAGAAGATAGACCCCATTGCGAATATCGTCAAGTCGACGTTGCCAATGACATTGCCATGGCGTATGGCCAGCTTCATTGCCTCTGAAGAGTAGTTAAAACTTCCACACTTTTGGAAAACGTCGATGTATGACAAGAAGAAGACCTTGTAGATAGCCATAGTATGGTGGCCCAACGTTATCATAGTAAAATATGTACGATTTTGCGAAGAAAGAATAAAAAATAGAAAGAAACAAAAAAATATAAGCGATAAAAATAGAAAAAAGGTAGAAAAATAATAAAGTTAAACAAAATTTTTTTAAATATCTAGAAAAAAAAGGAAAAACATAGGTTTATATCAACCATAGTAAAATTACAATTAAGCAATAAAAAAAGAACTCAGAAAAATTTTATTGGGAAAACGACATTTGGAAAAACATTGAAAATCAACAGTGAAAATCAATGTCAAAAATCAACAATGAAAATGAACATCGAAAACCAACATTGAAAACAACATTGAAAATCAACATTGAAAATCAACATTGAAAAAAAATAGAGAACGTCGAAAAAACATCGATATTTTCCACGTGGCCTGTCGTTATCATAGACCAGGATGCTTTGCATGCGTGCATTCAACACATTACCAGAATACAGTCATCAGAAGCTCCTGATACATCAGGGTTGTTGGATTGGTGCCTAATATTTGTAGTATGCGATTATTAAAGTTTCCATTGTAAGCGCGAAACATAAAAACAAAGGAGGCGTTAAATAAATTATTGTATATAAATACAGCCGGCTCAGCTTATGGCCCAACGTTCTCGTAGCCCGTGATGCTTTCCATCAGCGGATCTTGAGAGGAGCCCACAAGATATGAGGAGATCAAAACAGTCCCTCTTCCAAAATGAGTAGAATAAGGAATCCAACCTGGGAGAACGATGAGAACCTGAAAGCCGATATACAGAAATACGTACTCCAGAATTTGACTCGCAAAGAAGTTCTAGACTTTCTGGGTCGAGACTATCCGCAATATGCGTGGAGTCTTCCAACTTTGAGTCGTAGGATGGCTTACTTCGAGATAAAATACGTAGACTACGAAACAGACCTGAAAGTCGTGGAAATGGCGGTTAAAGAAGAAATTAGTGGACCAGGACAACTCTTGGGGTACCGATCAATGCACCGAAAGTTACGAGAGCACCACCAGTTGGCAGTTCCACGAGGCTTGGTGTACGATGTGATGACGAAGGTTGACCCTGAAGGTCTTGAGAGCCGCGGAAAAGTTGGACAAAAGAAGCGGCACAGAGGGCCGACTGGCACATTTACATCGCTGGTAAGATAAGCTTATCTAATGGTGCTATTGGTACGTAAGTTCATTTAATTGCAGTCGAACCTCGATCATCCGGACTTGTTTTTTTCATGGATATTAATAAGATATGATCTTGAAAATTGAAACTATAATTAAAAGTTCATTAATCTTTGCAAATGTTTTCAAACATATATATCAAAAACTTTGAAGTCTGTCAAAACCAAACAAATGCCTGTTGCCAAACATTTATATTGTCCAGTGTTTGTGGAGCAAAGTTTTGCCCTTTTGATGCGTGTTCACATATTGTGCTTTATATTGCATAAATGCTAGGCTTTATCCGGCTTCTACATTTAGATCTAATATGTTTGATACCATTTGGACAGCATGTTCAACATCACGACCAGTTTGGCCACCAAACATGTTTTTGGAGTGTGTGGTCATCAGACATTTCTCGTTTGGACAGGCCTTTGATAATGAAAAAGCAAGTCCTCAATGGAAATTTACAAGTTTTTTGGTTGTATTTGGTTTCTTACAGGGCCCAAACCACACGTACTCTGGAGATGGCCACGATAAACTTATGGATTTCATGAACAACACATTTCCCCTGGCCGTTTATGGTTTACAAGATGTTTTTAGTGGCTACATTCTTTATTTGAAACTGTGGCCCTCAAACTCAGATCCTAAACTGATAGCACGGTGGTATTTGGAGTATCTTTATGAATCAAGGGGTAACTGCAGTTGATTTGATAGTTGTTATCATAGAAGGGGGTAAACAGAGTCTGAGATCAATATTGGTGAAGAGGAATGTGTACAAGTCCCAACTCCTAGACCCATCAAAAAATTGTCCATGAACAAAACACCCTGCTCCCCCTGCAGTATCTTGTAAAAGAGTTTCTTAGCTCCAAACACTAATTTGTCTTATTCCCCCCACCATCCAATGGCTGTTAAATGGTTCACAATGAAAGGTATTGTCGAAAATGAGTCACATGCCTCTGAACAATAGACGCCTCACTCCTAAGCAAACAAAAACAGTAACAAAGGCACATGGACCATAATGGACAATAATGGGTCTTCAAATAACTGGAGAGTTTTCATCTTCTTCAGGGGGCAGTGTACTTGAGCAATAATTGGGTATAGGGGTGCTGCTGAGGGTCTGAGCCCCAGACCCCATTTAGGATAAAAAAAGTAAATCTACCCTACATAGGACAACACCTGCTATTTTAGGACCCTATCCTCACACTAGATTATAGGTCATGTAAGGGAGTACCCCCAGTGTCTTGATAAAGTTTGTCATATAACATCCTAAAACATAAATTAACATTGACGCATGAAATCTGAAACTTTCATAATAATTTGTCAATTTCACACAACCTCATTCTGGGCCCTT